TCTATGCTACTGAAAAAAAATTATGGCACGAGGAAAATGTGCGTTGAATATTGCTCAACTTTGAACAATGATTACTCAGCGACAAGTGGTCGTAAGACGATGATTTTCTTTTTAAATTAAAGGTTGACGTACCAACTTTAACATGCTTTCGGTTGATTTTAGATCCGATTCATTTCTACAGCGTGCGATCCCATAATCCGACGGCATGTTTCTGATTTAAAAATTTGCAAACTTTGACAAAACGCACGGGCTTGGGTAATTTTTCTTTTTTTCGAACATTCTACTCGCGGGAAATGAAAGTTTGATTCTTCCCCTTTAATTAAAAAAAAAAAAAATTCAAGTCTGCAATTTTTTTTCGCGATTTTGCAGCGTTTTAAAGAAACCCTTACATTTTCGTTACTGGAAGTAGGATTTACGTAGTTATAATATCAATATTCAATAATCTTTGACATTGGCACACTGCCGACTCCGAGGGATCTTCTCGTGGAGTTGTCATCTGTTAGCTTCCCTGTCCCTCTCGTGGTTGTAAATTACCCGTTTCCCGGAAATGTAACTAAATTCGCGAAACCGCGGATTGGTTAATACCGAGTCGCCTCGTACCTTTGCGAGAAGCCTTCGCTCATAAGCGCAATAATTAGTGCTCGTTGAGTCTGAGACAATGGATGCGTGTTTCTTTATCATAAAACACTACCATGAACTACGTTGTTTTACACTTAATGCAAAAATTCGGTATCCCACTAGGTAATGCCAAAGTTGGCAGTGATTTCCTACAAATCCTACTTTCAATAACGAAAATGTACGGGTTTCTTTAAGATGCTGTAAAATCGCGAAAAAAATCATAATGATTTGAATTTTTTTAAATGAAAGGGGAGGAATCAAACTTTCATTCCCCGCGAATGAAAATTTCGAAAAGAAATTACCCAAGCTTGTGCGTTTCGTCAAAGTTGGAAATTTTTTAATCAAAAACATGCCATTGAATTATGAGATCGCACGCTGTAGGAATGAATTGGATCTAAGATCAACCGAAAGCATGTTAAAGTTGAGACTTCAATCTTTAATTAAGAAAAAAAAAATCATCGTCTTACAACCATTTGTCACTGAGTAATCATTGTTCAAAGTTGAGCAATTTTCAGCGCAAATTTCTTGATGCCATAATTTTTTTTAGTAGTGTATATATTGCTCTCCGCGATGTTTTATCTTTCCCTATTTGCCGTAGAAATTGCTCTCTTACATGATCTGATGTAACACTCCAAAAAGAAAAAGTAATTTCAGGACAAGCGAATTTCATGTCTGGAGACAGAGCATGACTGAACAAAATAAGCGTACATTCAAATCAACATATTCCGCTACATACGTATAAGAGGAAAGTAAAGTGACGTAAGAGAGAAAATCCTCTTGAAGCAAGAGGAAAAAAACAGAATAATATCTAATCAATTTCAGGTGAATGGTTCGCTTTAATCGCTTTATCGAAACCGGGAATCTTTTCCTTGTAAAAGGCTTCGCTTAGAGTATGAGACTATGAAAAAAGATCACTTTACAAATAGAATACTTTTTTCGGTTACATTTTTGCTTTAGTTCGGGGGGATGCCTTTGATTTCGATCGCCTCTCGATCTTGACGATATATCCTTTGACGCGTTAAAATGCTTGCGGGGAAGGAGCGGGCCGCGCAGTGTTTTTCTCGAGGAAGAGAATTTTGCAATTTCCGGTCAAGCGGCGGTTGTGTCTTCCCATCGTCCGATCGACTTGCCGACGAAAGTAAGGAAGCGTGACACAGCGTGTGAAATCGACAATTGGCTCTCTCTTTCCGCGAAGACGCTCGAAATAGCGAGGGTTCACAGCGATTACACACTCGGACGCCTTTTGTAATTATAAACGACCCCGTTCTCGCCGCGCTGGATGGATCTGCGTTTGTTTCGCTGAACCGCTCGAAAATGTTCGTTCGTCCGAGGTGCTTCCGAAAAGTCATGTGATAAACATCGTCGCCGGCGCCGCCGGCTGCCAAGCGATCGATAGACACCGTTTCGTCGCCGCGAGTCGCTCCCGCGGCCAAGATGCTAATAATTAAACTTAATTTAGTAAGTGCGCAGCCTCGCAGTCCCATTCTGATCGGATTTCAACGTTCGTACGCAGTTGGCGATACGCGCACAATGTGAACTTGCGCGAAATAGTCTGCGATTTCAATGTCACTCTCTCGGCGGGACACGACATCGCTCCGTCGCTCGCAAGTCTTTGCTTTTGAGACGACCTGTATACATTCAGCGTACACGCGCGCGCGCCTGTGTGTGTTGTGGGTATTATTGTGGGTGTAGGTGGGCGGATGGGTGGGTGGCAATTGAAGGAAGAGAACACTCGATTGCTCGATTTACGTTCGCGCCGTGATACATCGCGCGGAAAGAGAGAAGAGAGTCTCGACGGTTCTTTCACCATTAATCGCTCTTAGCGCGCGATTCCTGCCGCTCATTCAGAGCTTCTGCCGTCCTCGGCGCGATTGCGCGACGATGACGACGACGACGACGACGAAGGTCGCCGAAGTCGCCGGCAGACTCGGAAATACCCGCGCGAGAAGTTTTACAACACCACACCTCTCGCGCGTTACGCACTGCTTGTAAACTTTCATCAGAATAGAATCGCGTTCGTAATCGCGAAATGGCCGACGTCAGCGTGAATCATTCCCAGGGAGCTGACGGATGTTGTTCAGGATTGCTTGACTCGAGTCGCAACGATCGTGTCGGAACGTCGCGCGCGCGATGTGTGTTGCGAGGATCACAATCTCTCGCAACTCCCTCGCGCCCGCCACGCCGCCGTGAAAATGGCCGGTGAAGAGCACATCGCGCGCACGGCGAAACGCGAATATTGAGCGTTCTCGGGTCGAATGTTCTCCAAGTAGGCCGCGACGCGACGGGGCGCTGCTTTTCGCAAAAAGTCGAGGGAACGTGAAAGAAAGCGAGAAAGCTCCTCGCGGCTCGTGTCGCCGCTCGTCGTTACACGCAAAGAATGAACATCGAGGCGAACGGAATTTACGACTTTCGCCGTCTGTCTGTCCGTATATTGGCGCTGTCATGAGACTGCCAAATTTAATCTAATCCATCGATTATTTATTCAGAGATTAACTACAGAGGGAGTCGAGCTCGCTCGCGTATTTGTGTGTGACCCATTTGCCTTTTCGATCGCGACTCGTCGAAACTGCGAAAGGACGTACACACACACACACACACACACACATTTTCTTTCTTCTTCTCCCTCTCGGGAATAATACACCGGATGAGATAAGCGTTTGTAGAAAGATGATACACGTGTTTCCTCCTCCCTCCCTCCCCCCCTCTCTCTCTCTCTCTCTCTCTTTCTCTCTGTCTCTCTCGCGTTATAAAATTATATAAGATTCATCAAATTCAAAGTGTATACCCATATGTGAGATATGTAATCTACAGTGTTGCTCGGTGTATATATATATATATATATATATATACGACTCGGCGAGATACATATATATATATATATATGTATTCGATAGGACGTGCGATAAGGCCGCGATATGCGGTACATTTCGAGATAACTCGAAGTCGAATACTGGTTTCTCGTAAAGCCAAGCCACAACAATACGGTACGGAACGTGAGGGGAAGCACGAGCATGCCAAACGCGATTTAATGTGCTCTCCAAACGGCACGCACACACACGGCGCGCGACGCATGGCGTCGTCGATCGTTGACTCCGGAATAAACGTGCCAGAGGAGCCGTGCGTGTGGCCGCTGTGAGAGATCGGACGGATTTCACATCCCGACGGAAATAGGAGAGCCGACCGCGCGCTATTCTCCATCGATCTGTCAGCGATGGAAGAGAAAACGAACAAAAGAAAGGGGGGGGGGGAATGCACCGTGGCGCGATATGTGATGCCCGGCCACGTGACGAAATCACTCGGTCGACGACGACGTAATGATACAACAAATTGCGCGTGTATCGTCGTCGACTCGTTGACCTCGTGCCCGATAAAAAATCTCAGTCTCGGAAGTCACTTACGTAGAAACGACGCTCAGCCGCTCCCTGACATTTCGTCACCAACGGAAAAACGCGCTGGAAGACTCGCTGTTGCCAACGTGGAAGCAAAACGTACCGTCTTAACGGCCGTCCGCCATTTTTGTGCCGACAAAGAGTGAGGCAGAGAGAGAGAGAGAGAGAGAGAGAGAGAGCGCAAGCATTTCGGTATTTCCAGAATTATTCCCGGACATGCCTCGCTCGCTTGATCGCTTCCTTCGGATCTCGTCCCGGAATTCACCCGGGAAACGAGAGCCTCGTGTGCGAATCCGTAATCGGATATTCGTGATCTACGCGAAGATACAGGGAAGCTTTCTCGTTGGCAATGGCGTCGTTTGCTGATGTGGCCGTTGCGCGGCGAGAACGCTCCGTACGTTACATCGGAAACGACGACGGTTGCTGACGCGATGGCGCTCGGCTTCTCGCGGTGGCGACATCTGTCGGCGGCGCTCGAATGTTCTTGTAACTGCGCGCTCCCGCGACAGATGACGCCACAGTATTGATTTTCGTGCGAAATTCGCAGAGAGAATTTCTGTGCGTGTGACTACGAATGAATTCCGATAATTTCGTCGACTTGAATTTCCGATGCTTCTGATGTTTTTATCCGCGCGATTAAACACGCGAGGGTCGTTTTATCGCGCTCGCACACACACACACACACACACACACACACACACACACACACAGCGTGTCGTTATTAAGAATTAAACGAATTACGAATAAATATAATAAAATTACGCTCGTTTCGCGCGTGCGCGCGCGCGATACCTATTTCGCAGACTAGAATTTGGATTTGGAACGCGACATATATGTGATCGAGAAAAGCCTCGCACAAAGGCAATACGGCTCTATCCGATCAATTAAACGCACGATTGTTAATTCGATTATAAGCATAAGTTATAATTATAAGCATGAAAATGGACGAGCCTGGGTAAAGTTAATTTGCATATATCGTGTTTTCCGTTACAGTGCACAGATTTCGTAAAGGCAGGCGCAGAGCAAGGTTTGACACCATCCGACGTTGTGCTAGCGGCTGATATCACTTTCTCCTGCGTGGCCGACCCTCAAGCTGCCAAAGATGTAAGTTACCAAAGATTCCGGTAAAGTTCCTCGACGAGAGATAACTCTCGTCGTCCGCCGGCGTGATCTTCACGCGCCGCAGCTCTGCCTCGACGCTAACTGAAACCGTTTTCGCCAGATGGTTTTCGGCAATTGCGGCGTACTGACGGAAATAACATCCGAAAAGTGCTACGTCGAGATGACGGGCATAGATGCGGAGACGTCTCAGGACATCGCCGAGGCAATTA